TTCCCTTTCTTGAGAACTAGATGTAATCTTTCAAAACAATGTGAAGGTGTAGCTAATGAAAAGCTCTGCTTTAGAAAACTTCTTAGAAGAACATTTGTTTTGAAGGTAAAAAGTTTGAGACTGTTTTCTGCATGCCACTTAATTTTCAATAATGCTGTGATCCAGCACTGGGGCAGTCAGTGTCCCTTGAGTTATTGGACAAACATGAAATAAGAGTGGAGAAAAGTCAATGTCTACATTATAAATTGCAGATGTGTTGTGGTGATAGGTCTTTCTTCTGTTAGTGCCGGACAGGTATATTATTGGTAGTTCAGTGCCATGCATATATTCTTATCTCCTTCTCCAAGGAGTCTTAGTTAAACAAAAAAAAAAAATTACTAAAAAGATAATTGAGAAGTTCAGAACAAAGCGATGAGACAAAACACATCATAACTCTATTTGCATAGTGGCATTTGAGCTGTTTTGTCTCTTGACTGAAGACTTCATGAGAAGCAGCAGAGGAAAATAGCTCCACATCTATAATATGTGATTTAATTGAAGTTATGAAAGGTACTGGTCTGTGCTGATGTATTCCAGTACACTTACTATAAGAAATCCTCTGCTTGATTGAAAGCTGCAAATTGTAATTTGGAGAGCATGGATGGAACAACGTGCTGTTGCTAAGCTACCAGAATTTTTATGACCGGCTCTTTATTTACTTCACAAAACTAGAGCAAATGAGACTGTATTTTAAGAATCTGTATTTCAAAACCCGCTATGGAATTCAGAAATCTGGTGATCTTGCCTGAAAATAAGTTTGGCGGCTTTTTTATGTTAGTGTCTTAAGTTCGGATATGATGTGCTTTCTTGATGCTTCTTCTGATGCTTCCTATTCAATTGTGATCAGGAAGGTCTGCATTTAAAAGAAGCTGTTCTTTTGACAGTTGTTATCACTGCATCCTCTGCCAGTTTTTAACAAACCCCTGACTTGGATAAGCCTTGGGTGAAAATACTTGGTAGTTTTCCATTTTTAAATTGTTGTCTTACTGGTTAAGGGTTAAGAAACTGAATGACATGGAATGTTTTATTTCCCCTGAAGCAGACAGAAGAGAGTAAATTTTCTTGGCTTTCTTTAAAGTATGTTTTTCTAAGAAAAAGCCTAATACCAGCCCAGCTTTTGTAAAGAGTTGAGAGAAACTAAAAGGGCAAAAAAACCTGATGTAACTCCTGTAGGTTATATTATCAGGGTATTTAACATTCAAACATAGGCTGTGAATATCAAATGTATTTGCCTTTTTCAGTTCTATGACTTGTACCAGTGATACAGTTTTAATTTAAAGGATAACATCGTAACTTGTTTTCTCTCCTGGCAGCCTCCAAAGGTAAAATGCTTGACAAGGATCTGGCATCCGAACATTACAGAGACTGGAGAAATCTGCCTAAGGTAGCAACAGCATTCTCTTTTTTTTTTTTTACCTTGGAGATTTTTCTGGGTAATAAAACATTGCATGTAATTTTCATGCCAATATTTTTTTCAACAGATTCTGCAAATCAGTGGCATGTGACCCTTAGGAACTTAGAAATCTACTAAAAGTATTGTTCTTGCTGTGTGTTAAAACCATGTAGACCTTGGCTCTTCAGGTTCAGACTTAGTTTTGTTCTACTTAGGGTAAAAATGTAAACTCCAACTTGGAAAAAACTTAGTTGTGTTTTTTGTTTGGTTTTTTTTGTTTCATCTTCCATAGATGGATAGTCCCCAGGCCCTGAGAGGGCTTAAGGCTTTACTTGTTTAATGCCTGAATGTGTTAAGTGCTTGGAAACCATTTATATTTCAAAAAGGAAGGAAAAAGTGTTCCTTAAACTTTGGCAGTAACTATTCTATATTTACTCTTTGTTTATTTTAACATTTAATATCCACTATAAGGCATATGTGCCAGTTGTAACAAAACAGAGTTGGGGGTGTGTAAGTCAAAATACAAAGCCCAAAAGCTTTACTTTACCAAAGTGAGAGGTTTATGTTGCTGGGTGGTTTTGCTTCAAAATCAGTTTCTGAAACTGTGTCATTTCAGTGTTTCATCATGAGTACCTGGTAGTGAAATTGGCCAGAAACCAAACATAAACAGAAGTGAGAAGCATGACTGTAATTTTTCAAGTTAATGGGGCATAAAAGAAAAAGTAGATGAAGCAGAAGCAATGAATAAAGCGAGATTGAAAGCTGTTCTGAAAAATCCAAAATGGTTGCCACCACGTGTAGCAAATTGGTGCTTAAAAAAAAGCTATGTTTTTCCTCTAGATTTAAAAATCATTTTAATGCTGTGTTCAAGGTCCTGGTGAAAATTAGCTTTTCACAGGGTAATCTGTCACACTTCATAGGCAGGTCAGGCTCATCAGCTGATAACAGCTAAAGAGTTGATATCATGCTTTTTAGCCACAGTGGTCTGCTCCATGCTTCTGAGAAGCTCCTATCATCAAAGGCTGATAGAAACCAGCCTCTGGAGGCTGTAGGATGTTCCTGGTGCTCGACAGTGCCAGACTGCAGCAGGAGTACAGGCAGCGAGGGCTGGCATCCGTAGACTTTACCTCACTTTGGGATTGGAGGATTTAAAAGCAGTGGAAAACTAAATCATCTGAGATTACCTAAAAAAACCTGGTTGTCTACAGTTATTTGGAGCTGTATGTAGGTGATACAGGAAAGTTGTTTTGGCAAATACGTATTGCTACTTTTAGCAAATTTGCCAGACCTGTGGTATTTCTCAGTGCCTCCTAGGAGTGTTGCATTTTACACAGCTGAACTTGTCACTTGACAGTAGGGAAGACTGATTTAAGGATCATGTTTTTACAGTTTAAATTCCACCAGAGTTCTTGTGGCTTAGTCACTGGAGAAAGCTTAGACACTTGAGTCAAATAGTGTAAGTAAAGGAATGTGAGCTGTTTGGAGTCAGGGAACAAGAAATACTAGACACAAAACGATAGCTAAAAGTTTAAGCTCTGACTACAGTGCTGCATCTTCTGAGGTTAAATAAAGCCTCCTCACATTCTTGAGGATATTTCACCATTTCTTGTCTTTAAATGGTTTTAATTATGAAAGATGAATGTAGTGTTGGAACATCATAATTCTACTTCATGAAGTAATTTTTTCAGCATCTGCCCTGAAACATCAGCTTTATTTGATTGTCAGATACTTTAACATATCAAACCTTTGAAATGTCTTACCATTTAGATGGAAAAACTAAAATAACTTAGATTGCTTTATGCCTGTTATAATGGAGAATGCACTCTATATATAGTACCTGCAATCAACTTATACAAGTTTTTACATTAAAATAGCTTCAGTTATTTTTAAAAGCAGAAAAAAAATCCTTATCAGTATTTTTCCTGTCTTTTACATCCCACACACTATGGTATGTGTTGGTTTGATAATCATCCCTGAATTAAAACATACCAAATGATTAAACTTGTAGTCAAGTGTAATAGTTTTGGGTAGGAAAAGTGTTGTTTCTCTGTGCTTTATGGATTGCAGTTACTCTGGACCATATTAATAGTAGACCGTATTAATTAGGTCTGGACCGTACTTGTGGATATTGCCTCCACTGCACACGTGGATAGAAAACGTCAAGATATCTAGAAAGGATATGCTTTGCTTACTACACACACCATTTGAGTACTTTCTTGGCAATGTGTAATGCATGTCACTGACTACTTCCCCCCTCCCCCATTAATGTGATCTATGCCTGAGGTGGTTTTTTCCTCCTTGACCACATAAGCTTTTAGAATAGTTTAATCACTCAGAAATTTCACTGCTTTTCTGCTATGTGGTGAGGTGGTCAATGTTGTTGGATGTATCTTTTTCAGCAATGGGTGGTGTTAGTTAAGGTTTGGTCCCTTCATGATGCAATATTGAAGGGTGCTGAATGGAGAAGTGTTTGAAGACTGATTAATTGTATCATCTAGTATCGCTCAGTGTTGCAATTTCTGCAGTTATAAAAGCTGATTAAGTTGATTGTTTCTGTTCCCCAGTGCTGTTCCCAGTCTCTTCAGCTGTGCCAATGTGGAAACAAAAAGCTCTTTAGAAAGACTTTCTACAGCAGTTGCTCCACTTATCCAGTATATAGCATGGCCTCCAGAATGGTGCACTGGTGGTGCTGGGTTGAGCAGGGAGGTGGGCAGTGGGAGGTGAGCAAGAGGATAACCTCTACAATGCGTCCCTGCCAGCGGAGGGTTTCTGAATTGGATTTACAGCTTTTTAATTTAAACTTACCTAAATGATACTTTCTGTTCGCAAAAGGAGGGCAAAAGTTTTGTTGGAACTGACATTTTGTGTTGATAAATATCTTCATCTGAGATCTTTATGTAAAGCAGATTTTTTTTCCTGGACTGATCTCCCAATTACAGTAATTTTTAGTCCCTTAAGCTGTAAATCATGTCAGCTGAAGTTTCAGAAAGTTTTAAGCTTGCTAGAGCCGTGCGATTCCCAGTTCCGTAGATGTTTTTGCAACATCTCTTTAGGATGCTCTGTATTTAAAAAGAAAAAATTCCTCAAAGCTTTTTTCCATGTGGGAATTACAGAGTAAGAAGATATTTGTGGAAGTGAAAGCTAAGCAGCTGGCTGGTCACATCAGTGGCTGTTTTGGTTGCTACAGCTTCAAAAATAGTGATTTTGCAGTCTTCTCATAGGAACTTGGATATAAGGATTTGAAATCATGTTCTAGGAGGTCTCCTTAGATATAACCACACCTTAACATCTGGTGTTTGTTGGTTCCAGTCACTCCATGACTGAGGACACGCTTGGCTTTTCTCAGACCCTACTGCAGCTGAAAAGAAAGCAAATGGAAATGGTGTTTTACTGTCCTTCCCCGTTCCTGGTGAAGTTCCCTGCCTGACAAACTCCTGCTTGTGGCACAACACTCCCCCTCCTGTCAGCCCTCCCGTTTCTTCCCCAAGGCATGCACTCACTCACCAGCTTTAGTGATCTGAAATGCTGCAGAAATTGCACAGTTGGTTTACCTTTCTCTTTACTCTTGCAAATTCATTCTCAAGCATCACAAGGGAAGCTTCCGAATGTTTATTCAATCTAGATAATACTAGATGAGTTTTCTGAAGCTTTAGAATAGGCACTTCAAGTAAACAGGTTTTCCTGCCCATCAGGTGTCCTGAAACCCTGGTAGAACAGGTGGCTTTTGTGGTGTATCTGTCAGCTCATCAAAAGCAGCCTCTTGAAGCATTGAGTGGGAGAGAAAAACTACTGGTTGTCCCATTTGAGAGCTTCCTAGTAGCCCAGCTCCTCTCTGGCAGCAGGACCCATGGATGACAGGTCTTTGAACAGAAGCTACATGCAGATGCTTGTTCATCCACTAAACTAGCTCATGATGTATTTTATGTATTTCTACTCATTTAGGGGTTCATTTTGCTCTTTGCGTCTATGACGCTCTGAGAGCAGATCACCATTCAGACCTTCCAACTGTCTGGCAGTTATATCTAGGTCATCCCCGTGGAGAGCACAAGATGCGGTTCCTCTAGACACCCTGTGCTGGGAAAAGGTTTTGATTAGGGGCCTAATGATGATTCCCAATCTGTAGGAAGAAAGATGCTGCTGCTCTAAAAATAAATTACATCAGTAAATTAGATATATGAGACAAAGGTACACTTCTCTATCTTCATTGGTTTTCTGCCAGAGCACTATGAGGGGTATGAGTGTCTTTTCTCAAGTCCTGGCTGCTGATGCCCGCAGCTGGAGATATGCTAAGAGAGAGCTCTGAGGCTTTGGGAAGCTGGAAGGGTATTATGGGGCTTAGCTGATATGCTCAGGCACTTTGAGCTCTATCAGTGGATATTTTTATGCTTTTTTTGTGTGCGTTAACTCATTCCTAACTCTGAAGTTCAGTGAGATATATGTAGAGGTAAAGGGGAGTACTATAGCAAAATTTTATGAGGAGCAGACAGAAAGCAAGCTAAAAAGTCAGTTATTTGCTTAAAACCTGAAAATTCTGTCTCTTGCATTTTTGCTTTTACTTTTGTAATATGAACAAAAATCGCAGCCACAAGATGCTGTTTTTAATGTTCTTGAAATTCGTTTTGAGTTGCAGTAGTGGTAATGGTATATTTTATCTTTTTAAAGACACAGAATTGAGATTAGCAGCACAGTTAAGATGGAATAGTCTTATCCAGTATCATCATCCTGTTCCTAGCCTCTCTGCATTGAACAAGGAGTAATGCTAGTTGTAGTGTATTTCCTTGGATTAAAAACTCAGAGTATTCAATAAATAACTGTACGGATAGCTTGTATTGTCCAGTCATCTGCTTTAATTTAAAAATTACTCAATACATGTCATCCTGAAAGTTGGTAAAACCTAATAGTTTCAGACTATTTCACTTTAACCCTATCATTTCAGTAGTAGAAGCTGCTGGTGGTGATGAATTTTTGTGCTTTTCTACTTTGCTGTATGAGTTTTCAGTTTTACATTACTCCTTAAAAAGAGGAAGACACGATTGTGAAATGATGCTCCAAGGAGTTTTCCAGACTTTCTCGTTCAGATTATTAATTTTGCTTTCATGAATGCGAGCAAGACTTCAGCTCATTTCTCAATTATGCTCTGGTCTCCAATATTTTTTACTTCTCATAACTGCTGATGTTTTGACCTGAAAGGTCACAAACTGAATACACCTCAATGCTTTCAACTGGTAAATAGGTCAACAGCTTCACTGGACTTAATATGTAACATAAAATGCAGGTCATATAAAATTTCTATATGGGATGTGTGTATATAGGAAAGTCTGTATCTCAGTTATTTACATTCCTATGTATTTATATTAAAATTCAGGAGCATGTATTATAGTTTATAAGGAACTCTTTCCTCCTATAAGCGATCTCTCTTGCTGAAGTAGTCTTCATGATTTCCAGTTGGGGATGTATGATGCTGAGTCTGCGTGTAAAGCCTTAAAACATTGCTCATGCAATGTAGCTCACCTGCTGGAAGAGGACTGTAAGACTCTCCTGCTAGATTGTCCATGCTGTGTTCCTGCAGGCTGGAGGTGCATCTGCTCATGTTATGGCTGTTGCAGAACCTTCCTGAGCAGACAGACCAAAACTGTTTCACTTTCCTGTCCCTGGCTCTAAGAATGCAAAGTCCTAGCACAAAGAAAGGATGATAATCCTCTTTCTTGCTAATTAGATATCCCAACAAAAATACCCTTTCTGGATTGAATTGTGGCAGGTTTGGTGAGAGATGGGTCCTTCTGCAAGTCTGTCTCTTCACCAAAGATGAACGTGTTCTGAACATGCGTCTGTGTGCTCAGGGGAAAATAAAGGTTCAATGTTGAGACTGTGTCACAAGGATTTCTGTCACACTTATTTTGCTTGAGGAAAATAATTCAGGTGTGTTTGTCAAAGGTTGAGCTCACATTGGGAGACCTGTAATGACACTATGTGGAATGTAATTCTAGGAAGACATACCAGTTCTTGTGCTTTAAAATCCCAGTACATAGATATAGTGCAAGAGGTAATTCTTATGTTGCAATTACTTCCCAAGTTCTTAATGTTTTCCGAGATTTCTGACAAAGGTTGTTTAACAAGAAGTTGCACTGTATAATATATGTGTCTTTTTTCCAGTTTATTGAGAGAACATTCAATTGATGGCACTGGCTGGGCTCCAACTAGAACATTAAAGGTACTATTTCCTTTTAGATACGTACATCGAACTAGATATATCTTTTGAAATACTTTTATGGGCTTGGAAGGAGACAGATAATGCAGTTTGCTCTAGAAACAACTGAGTTTTTTGTCTTTCAACAAGTGTTGGTGGCAATACTGAAACAACAAGTATGGTGCTAACTGATTACAGAAATGTTGGCTAGTTTAGCATAGCTGCACGAGTACTGCTTTGACTGATAAAAGGTTTTGTAGAACAGTATGACTGCAGGTGACCCTGGGAAATCATGCTTGGTAAGGGTGGTCTGTTTTGTTTTTACCCAGGCAACAAATACAAGAGCATGATGTGAGCAGGACTAACAGTAATCCATAACCCTTGTGATTTCTATTGTATTGACATTCCTGATGAATCAATAGTCTGTCCTTTTTCCCCTTCCTCAAGCTCCTCTCGGTAGAGGAACTTGGAAAAGGGAAAGGTTATTTGCATTTGGGAGAAGTGCCATGTGGAACAGAATCAGAGTGTAGTTACTGCACTGCCTTGAATTGTTTCATCCCCAGTGTCCAAAGCAGGGAGCAGCGCATCTGCACTTAGGTATTGCATAAAGCAGGGCACTCTTGGCTGTTTTAGTCACTCCAGTAGGGAACTAACTGCCTCTGCCCTTTAACCTTGCCTCAAATGTCATTCTACCTGAGTCACTAAAATGTAAGTGAAATCTGGCCCCTGTAAAATTTTGCTGGTAGTTGTGCCACTGATTGCAGAATGACTTCAGAGGTTGGTCCCACCACAGCTGGGCACTGTTAACAAATTCAGAGTCACAGTTCTTGTATGAAAAACTCTTAGGGAGATTGTCACAAATGACATGGGCTTTAGCGCAGTGACTACTCTTGTCTTGCTATGGGAAGCGGCTGGTTGTCCATTTACTGTTGCATGACCTTGCTGTCAGAAGGATCTTGCAGAGCACCAAGCAATAATCTCCCTTTTGCTTTTACCAGGAACCCTGCCAGAATTGGTTCTTAAAGAATGTTAGCTACATTAGGTAGATAAAGGGTACACATGTCAGGTGTTTGCTTCTTTTCAAAAGCCAAATTGAAAATTTGAAATTGAAAATAGTTTTATCTAATACTTTATTTCCTTTTTGGCACTATGAATGGGATCTGTGACTCTCATTGTCTGTAAAATTCTTCATGAGCATCTGACTTTCTGGAAAGTGAAGTAGAATCTGTGTGTGGTGGTTTGTGGGTTTTCCTAAACACTCTTTGTGTTTCTGTTTTCATATTAGGTTAAATCAAGACACTGACTGGGTAATTAAGTTAACTGGGTCTGTTCCTGTCCCTGTATTTCATTCCCAGAGAAAGTTTTTGGACTGCAAGTTTTAAGCTTCAGCCATTAGAAAATTTGTACACCAATATTGCAACTGGACAAGAATGTGCATATATTTTTATCTGCTCTCCTAGCTTTGTTCATGGTATCTTTCTCATATAGATAAAAATACTGCAACGTTAAGACTATGGATGGGAATAACTGCTGATATTATGTGTACTTAGCTTCCTATTCTCAGGGATGTGGATGATGTGTATTAATCTTCTTTTCCATTTTATTCTTGCATCAGTTTGCTAATTGCATGTGATTAATTTTATAGATTAAACATCCTGGAATGTCAACTACCAGGAGACTCAAGTTACTGAATATTATGAAGCATTTTGGGGTGTTTTTACTGTCAATAAGTTAAAGAGGGGAAAAAACCTCCACAACCCCAAACAAAAAAACCTGGGAACTTTGCCTATGGGTGTTGAAAGATTCAGCATGAGAAAAGGAGCTAGTAGCTTAACTTCAAAAAGAAAAAATAAAATCCAACATCCTTCTTGGATTTTGGGTTTTTTTTTCACCATGGGCATTGAAGCACAATTCCAAGCTCATATTTTATAGCTTTAAAAAAAAAAAAAACCCAAATTGCAAAGTTTCATTCCTTACTTTTTGTCTGCAGAGTCTCTATTTTAAATGTGCAGTTTCAGTAAGTGTTCTCACTTGTCACGTTGTCACTTCATGTGATTTGAAGTGTCATCACAAAAAATAAGTACCACATGTTGGTCCTAACTTGCAAGTTGTGCTTCTGTCGAAATGCCATTGTTACACTGTGCCTCTAGTACAAAAGGAGCTTAAAAACAATTGAGCATAAGTAGCCATGGGGATGTTGGTAAGCTGCAAGTACTGTTCCCCAAACTGCGTGTTTGCTTGGGATACAGATTGTAATTAGATGGTAACTAGCATCTGGACTGAGTCTGTTCTTTGTCGAAGATATTCTTCATCGATTCTAATTGTGCCCTTTGAAAGGACTAAAACATGGGAAAGGTGGGTCTTGGTCAGAGCCAGGGTTCCTAATGGCTGCTCTTATCAGGTGCTCTTTTAGATCTTTGGCTGCCTGTCACCTGTGAAGCTTCATGCATGCCTTTCTATGTGTTTTGAAGCTTGATTAGTGTCCATGTGCTTAGATTCCAGGCTACACGTGCTTCTGAGATGGAAGATATGGAATTGTGCTGATTTGTTGACAATATGGCCACACAGTCAAGTTATTTGTCAGTGTGCATTAATAATTGTGGTAGGTACGTGTTAACTATAGACCACAGAATTACATGAAACAGTGAGTGACCGGTAGCAAACGAGAGCCTTAAGATGTGACCCAGGTTACTTTTATCTCTTAACACTCCACCTGCACCCACTAATCCGGCCTTCCCAAATCCTTTGTTTCCAACACTTGGACACCATTGTTTCAAGAAGCTGCTCATCTCCACAAGCAGATATTGTGTGAATTTGCACAGTAGCGCTACGGATAGTATCCAGTCTTGGCCAATGATGGACTTGAAAGTCAGTATTTCATATTCCACTCATCAATAATATGAAGGCAGCCTGGCTTTCTGGAGGAATAGTACCCAAATTTGTCCAATAAGGCACTCTAAAACACAGATATTTAATTTGAGAATGGGGATGTACTGTATTTCTGGGACAAAAATTGGCAGGCATTACTAATGCAGCCATTCTGAGTGCATTAGTAAAACCATTCAAACAGATGATGCAAAATCTCAAAAGCCACATGCACAAGCCAGCTCTGCTGTATGCTACTGCATGCATTCATGTTATGTGCTTAACCTTTTAGAAGGCTTAAGTTTTAGAAGTTTTAGATTGTCTCATCTTCTGTATCCTTGTGGTGGCAGCAGAGCTCTTACATATAAAAATCCTTCAAAACAAACTGCTGTGACCTTTTTAACACTTTCTTTAGTATCAAATGGGTAGAAACTTGAGGAGGCATTTAAGTTATGCCTTCTAACTTTCAGAAATAAAAAATAAAATCTCCTAAATACTTTATAAAGTTATCTGATAAAATGTGTTTTAACAGCGTAGAGAATTCTTAAGGGGAAAAAAAAGCTAACTCAATTTTTATTTTCTAGCATTTTGTTGCACTCAGTGTCATCTAATCCATGATTGAATTCTCTTTAAGTTACTAAGTGTTGAGCATTAACTTTATTCCACTTTACTTCTTCCTGCTACTAAACGCATTTCCATGGACCACTGTTAAGAGCAGTCTGTGTACTAGTGAAGGCACTAAAGAAGGTGCTGTTTCTGAATTCCTGCATTAGATACTTTTAAAATCGGGTTATTAAAGTTGGGCTTTAACCCTGAAACAGATCATTGGTAGGTTAATGTTTTAAAACAATCTGCATGTACTTTTTAAATCATTGCTGATGCCATTGTAAATGTTTTCTTTATTCATAGAACGACTCCTGAATCCTAAATTCTTAGATAGTTTCTGGTAGCAGTTTGCTTATGGGTTGTGTAAAAACTGATGCAATGGTTTCTAACTGATCTTTGTGTAATCTTTCACTTCTTTATAGCTAGCTGTGAGTTAGCAACAGGAACTTATTTATATTTTAATCTCTGTTCTGTTATGTTCTGCATCATTTTATTGCATATTTCTTTCTAAAACAGTATTCATAAAGCGAAAGATTGCTGAAGTTATTTTGGGCTTCTGCTGAGGCTGTCTGAACTTGCTTTTCTCCTGCTTTTAGGTCTGATGGTCAAAACTGAAGTTTTCCAGGCAGAAAGCAAATAGGTGGTTTTAATTCCGTTCTGTTCCCAGATTTTTATTTCACTGACAGTACCAGCTTTTAAATACCTAGTATGAAATAATGCTGCTGTTGCTCTGATACCCTGCTTCTTCCCCCTCAGTAATTCCAATTTCAAACTCAAAAGTGCTTCAGTAGCTCCTGTTAGTCCTCAACATGCACTTCCTTGTACCTAATTCGCCATGAGTATCATCTGCCTAGTTAAGATAGGCCTCCCTAGTATTCCTCAGCTTTCTCTCAAATGCTTGTTTTCACTTTGCTATAAAATTATCTTGGGTGATTGATTTTAAAAAACAAAGGAAGAAGTGAATCTGTGTATTGTGATTGCCTGATTGGTTTTAAAAGTCAAGCTGTTCTTTCTGCAATTCTCTCTAACAAACTACAACTGGAAATTGGTCAGTGACTGATTTATGAACCATAAAAATAATCAAAGCACACTTGTGCAACTCTGCTGACTGACTCTGGAGGGCTGAGCATAGTAATGTTAAAACCAGTATTTTAAAATGTATGATGAATATTCATAAGGAATATTTGGTCTTTTTTTTCTTTTTTGTAACCCTGTTCTGATAGAGCTACAGTTGGTTTCAGGTAATTGGAGAACTATTTTCTGTAGCATTTTCATGTTGTATGTGCATTTCAGTTCTTCACTGAGGTATTTTAAAGAGCTGGTTTTTGTCATTTTTGTGTTACTGCTGTCAGGAGAGACAGGAGCAGGAATACTATAGATATGCAGACAGCTTTTTATACCCACCTATAGGAAAATAGTATTTTTTTTTTCCAGGAATTCCTTTCCCATAACTTCAGATATTGGTTAAGAAATATGTCTGTTATTAGATAATCTACTCTAAAAGGAATTAAGACTCGTTTATGATAAATTATTGCTATTTGGAGTTTATCTAT